ATTTACAAGATATTAGAACTTTCTCAAATGGCAGGGGATCGGAATGACCCCTGGGGATTAACCCTGTATATCATTCAAACCATCTTAGCATGACAAACCATAATATATATGGTTTAGGGGTGGGGATCTCGACCACTTACAAGATATTAGAACTTTCTTAAATGGCATGGGGTGGGGGTGACCCCTGGGGACTAACCCTGTATTTCATTTCATGTGTTTTATCATGACAAACCAGAATATATATGGTTTAGGGGTGGGGATCTCGACCATTTACAAGATATTAGAACTTTCTCAAATGGCAGGGGGTCGGGATGACCCCTGGGGACTAACCCTGTATATCATTCAAACCATCTTAGCATGACAAACCAGAATATATATGGTTTAGGGGTGGGGATCTTGACCATTTACAAGATATTAGAACTTTCTCAAATGGCAGGGGGTCGGGATGACCCCTGGGGACTAACCCTGTATATCATTCAAACCATCTAAGCATGACAAACCAGAATATATATGGTTTAGGGGTGGGGATCTTGACCACTTACAAGATATTAGAACTTTCTTAAATGGCATAGGGTGGGGGTGACCCCTTGGGACTAACCCTGTATTGTATTTGATTTGCTTTATCATGACAAACCAGAATATATATGGTTTAGGGGTGGGGATCTCGACCATTTACAAGATATTAGAACTTTCTCAAATGGCAGGAGGTCGGGATGACCCCTGGGGACTAACCCTGTATATCATTCAAACCATCTTAGCATGACAAACCATAATATATATGGTTTAGGGGTGGGGATCGTGACCACTTACAAGATATTAGAACTTTCTTAAATGGCATGGGGTGGGGGTGACACCTGGGGACTAACCCTGTATTTCATTTGATGTGCTTTATCATGACAAACCAGAATATATATGGTTTAGGGGTGGGGATCTCGACCATTTACAAGATATTAGAACTTTCTCAAATGGCAGGGGGTTGTGATGACCCCTGGGGACTAACCCTGTATATCATTCAAACCATCTTAGCATGACAAACCAGAATTTATATGGTTTAGGGGTGGGGATCTCGACCATTTACAAGATAATAGAACTTTCTCAAATGGCAGGGGGTCGGGATGACCCCTGGGGACTAACCCTGTATATCATTCAAACCATCTTAGCATGACAAACCAGAATATATATGGTTTAGGGGTGTGATCTCGACCATTTACAAGATATTAGAACTTTCTCAAATGGCAGGGGGTCGGGATGACCCCTGGGGACTAACCCTGTATATCATTCAAACCATCTTAGCATGACAAACCAGAATATATATGGTTTAGGGGTGGGGATCTTGACCACTTACAAGGTATTAGAACTTTCTTAAATGGCAGGGGGTGGGGATGACCCATGGGGACTAACCCTGTATATCATTCAAACCATCTTAGCATGACAAACCAGAATATATATGGTTTAGGGGTGGGGATCTCAACCATTTACAAGATAATAGAACTTTCTCAAATGGCAGGGGGTCGGGATGACCCCTGGGGACTAACCCTGTATATCATTCAAACCATCTTAGCATGACAAACCAGAATATATATGGTTTAGGGGTGGGGATCTCGACCATTTACAAGATATTAGAACTTTCTCAAATGGCAGGGGGTCGGGATGACCCCTGGGGACTAACCCTGTATATCATTCAAACCATCTTAGCATGACAAACCAGAATATATATGGTTTAGGGGTGGGGATCTTGACCACTTACAAGGTATTAGAACTTTCTTAAATGGCAGGGGGTGGGGGTGACCCCTGGGGACTAACCCTGTATTTCATTTAATGGGTTTTATCATTTAGAACATTTTCAATTAAAAAGATTGTGTCTATCACAAACGGTTTTCAATTTATAATCATTTGAAAATTTTAAAAAATAAAATCCCATAGGGTTCTATAGTAAAACCCTCTTTTCTTTTTGCCCCTCAAAGTACCCCTTTATAAACCCCATTGCACAAACAAAACCCTGATTGCACCACTAGACATGTAAGTCTAACATATTGTGAAATCCTAAGTTAATCTGACAAGCGGTTTTGGAGAACGGGTGCGGACAAGTTCAAATTTAAAAGCGGCGGAAGAGGAAGAGGAAGAGGAAGAAGAATAATAATAATAATAAGAACTGAGCAAAAACAATAAGTCTTCCCAAACTTCGTTTGGGAGACTTAATAAAAGAATAATATCCATGTGCGTATCTTAATTTGGGATGATGTATAAATAACAAAAAATGTAACAATTGTCAATAGTAATTTGTAAAAATTAAAATTGTTTGCCATTTATCTACCTAATCCAGTGTATAATGTGTGCAAGTCTTGCAAAAATTAATAACAAAAATTCTACAGATTACAACACTTGAAAAATAACAACTTAAACTTTAAAATAAAATGTATATATAGAAGACATGGATGTCTGTCCATCCATTAACTCATCTAAATGTTCAAAACATTGTTAAAACTAATTTATGTCAATGAAGTAGTGTCGATATACTACAATCAAGTATAACAAAATTACCCTAAGCATGATTTAAGTTCCCTAAGCATCAACTGTATATATATCAAATTTTAATGCAAAATATTTGATCCTGCAAATCTATTTTCTCAAAGAATGATGGTAAGTACATTTGTATGTAATAGTTTTGAAAAGTGAAATTTAACTAGTTTGATAAGCCTAAAAAATTGAAGCAATGGCAATTTTCCATTACTGCATTTGTCAAAATACTGTGAATATCTCCAACACCAACAAAGAAGTAATAAAAATTTGTAAGGGTTCTGCGGAACCCAGTGTCTCGCCTCCTTTTGCTTTTAGTTGCACGCTCAACAAAAATGTGGAAAAAAGTATTAAAAAGTTTCCTCTAGATACTATCTTTTGATTGTAAGAAGCTTCTGTCCAAGTTTGGTAAATATCCAGGATGGTTTATGAATCTGATAAATGTTTTAAAAACTTTAACTGCAGACTGTATGTAATGTTATCTGGAAGAAAAACTAAGTCCATTTATAAGTAATACAATGTATACGGAAAAACAGGAAATTAATTTTTTACAAAATTTCCTTCTAGATACTAGCTTTTGATCATAAGCAAGCTTCTGTCAAAGTTAGGTACAAATCCAGGATAGTTTAGGAAAGTTATTAAAATTTTTAAAACTTTACCACATAGTGAATGTAATGTTAACTGGCAGAAAAACTAAGTCCATATATAAATAAAATACGGATAAACAGGAATTTTTTTTTTTATCTTTTTACAAAATTTACTTCTGGATACTATCTTATGATCATACACAAGCTTCTGTCCAAGTTTGGTAGAAATCCATGAAAGTTTAAGAAAGTTATTAAAATTTCAAAAACTTTAACCACAGAGTGAATATTTGTGGACGCCGCTGCCGACGACAACACCAATGACGGAATGTAGGATTGCTATGTCTCGCTTTTGCGACAATAGTCGCAGGCTCGACAAAAATGAAAGTGTATAACCCTAGAAAACTGTTTAAAATCATAAACTAGCTAACCCACCACAGGAAAGTATTTACATTTATAAATTCTTATATTAAATCTAGTTGGACAGGAGTTCATATATAATATTTCTACTCTGACACAAGCATGCCATTATAGTTGGGCAAACTTAGTAATCCCCTTCCATCAATCATGGTTATAAATTGTTCAAATATCAAAGAACAACTTATGTTCATACTAAAAAAGTACTATATTATAATTAATATTTTTGATAAAAAGCAATTCAAAGATTATGTCCAAAACAATTATGATGTAGGGGTCTTTTTCTGGAAACCATTAGCTTACAATTATTTCAGATGCTTATTGTTATGAGGGGCGTAAAGGGGGGTATCTGCACGGAAGAACGCGAAATAAAATTGCCATTTCACGATGAATGAACAATTAAAAATTCCTTGCACGTTGATCTTTTTACCGATTTCACGAAACACGGTGAATAACGAACCTTTTTCACGGCTGCACGTCAAATAAAAATGCCAAAACACGTTGCACGAAAATAACCCTTCACCACCCTCTGTTATGAATATAGCTTTTAAATGAAAATATGACTATGGCAGCAAATCACAGAATTGCTTAAGACAGCAGAGCTAGAATTATAGAAGACAAATATTTGTCTGACTAGAAGCTATTTGAGTGAAATAAAATTTTATAGAGTTTATTTTTTTTAAATATCATAAACAACAAACTATACACCAATTAACTTGTCAAAAGATTATGCTAAAATGTCAAGTATATTTACATAACATTTCACAATATCACATTTCTATGTTCAGTGGACCATGAATTGGGTTCCAAACCATAGTTTGGTATATAATTCAAAAGATCACACCATAACAAACATGTGTACAAAGTTTCGAGTTAATATGTTACATGACCATAACTTCATAGTAAACCACCATAACCCAAAAAAAATTAACCTGATAAAGGATGGACAGATGCACATACCACAAATTATTATGCCCCCTACTATTTTAGCAAGGGCATAAAAACTGATATTGACATTAGAATACTGAATCACTGCTTTTGAACTATTGGGGAACTTCAGTGGAGGAAAATGAAAATGCATTGCCTTATTTTTCCAATCAAGACACACCAAATCTTACCAAAATTCAAGTGTAAGTGGAAATTCAACAATCAATTTTTATGGAGTAAATGATAATAAATAAATAAATGTGATTCATATTTCTGTGATAAAGTTTTAGCAATTTTACTTGTACAGTGCTATCTAACATACCATGTTTTTACTATTGGCTAACATTGTACAGCTTATCTATTTATTTACTAGTAATTTAATTTAAAGTTTTCACCTTAATTGCAGCAATTGTTGAAAATAAATTGTTTTCAACAAAAGATGCATAACAAATTTATCCACTATATTTCATTTGTGTATTATTAGAAGGAAATGAACCAGTAATCATACATAGAACTAAGTTACATTTTTTTTACATTTCATGAATTTATGTTGATATCAACATTATTAAAGGATAATCTAATTTGTTTTTAGTAAATAATTATAAATATACCAAACTGAAACTTTTAGACTAGAAAAAACCCAACTTGCATAATGCAGTTAATAGATATAAGAAGATGTGGTATGAGTGCCAATGAGACAACTCTCCATCCAAGTCAAAATTTATAAAAGTAAACCATTATAGGTCACAGTACGGTCTTCAACACGGAGAATAGTCTACTACAAAATCATGAATTCTTTTAACCCAATACTGCTAGAAAATTATTTCTATTTTTCTTCTGATAATTAAGACAGTACGTTTCATATGACCAGTAAGCATTATCAAAAATTTTCCCCTAAGAGGATTTTCAATTCTTTTAAAATTACAGCTATAAGGAAATCTTTTTTCAATTCTTTTAAAATTACAGCTATAAGGAAATCTTAACTTTCTGAACTTTAAACTTCATTACTAAAATCTATATATAGTTGTGGTGAAGATATTAAATGTCTTGAAAAGCCTGATGTTTGTAGACAGAATCATACAGTCTATAATATTATATAAGTAGCATTGTTACAACCAAAATAGAAAACAAATTATATAATGCATAGAAAAGTACAGAGAAAAATGATTAACACTACTTATATGCTCACTAAAATAAAATTCTAAATCCACACATATGATCGTGGCAATATGCTACATCACATCTGTTGACCTTTGATACCAAATTCCTTCTCAAATGTTTCCTGTATCAGCCTGCACATTCCTCTGTCTTTGTCGATAAAATGTATTTCTCTAACTGACGAACTTGGAGATTTTCTGCTGTACTCTATAACAGCTCCATAATACTCCTTGGCACACAGCTCCTTTGGCACACCAAATATACCTGATGGATAAAAGAATTGTTTATGAAGGTATTTCTTTAAACTTAAATTCAACGTAGCCATCCCATCCTTATGCATATGTACAAAAAATGTTTTAGCTCTCGAACTAAACTTTAAAACTCCTTGGAGTTTGGAGATGAATTAATGGTGCATCAGTAAAATTTTTGCTTTCCAAAGGAATTAGCTAAAGTAAACCTGATTACTTATAATGTGGAAAGGGGGCATAACTGTGATTTAGGATAGCCAACTAATAAGCATGTCTTCATGACAGAATCTTACAAACTTTCATGAATATCTGGTGAAGCATGTATAAATGAGCTGAATCTTTCATGAATATCTGGTGAAGCATGTATAAATGAGCTGAATCTTTCATGAATATCTGGTGAAGCATGTATAAATGAGCTGAATCTTTCATGAATATCTGGTGAAGCATGTATAAATGAGCTGAATCTTTCATGAATATCTGGTGAAGCATGTATAAATGAGCTGAATCCACAAAATTGAATTTTCTAAGGTTATAAGGCATAATTCCAGATAAATAAATGGAGAAAAAAATCCATAGTGCTGCAAAGATAAAACATGAAATTAATCTGTTAATGTACAAAGTTTGGTTTATTTTGGACATGGGACTCAAAAGTTAATTTCTGACAGAATGATGGATGAAAAATAGACAGGCTGATTCCTAAACACATGATAGACCCTCCATACTTTGTGTTGAGGGATATAAATACTTTTAACCATTGTATCACTTTTATGTCTTTACAAAAAAAGGCTCAGATAATGTACATGGGAGTAGAGTGAAAGGCCCCATGACTGAAAGCTTCTTGCATGCCTATAGTTATAATCCCAGGAATGAACGCTTTGAGTATATCTTTTCTTTAAAATATCTTTACAAAATTCATTAATTTACATTTCCAAAAATCAAAAATGTTTGTGTATCCCAGAGTACAAAAATAAAAGAACCATAAGCAAGCAAGCTTACATACTCCTCACCCACATTATAAATATGGGATAAATAAGTCCCCTCTTGAGAAAATGGTCCCTCATGTCAGATTTCACTGATTATCATACTGATCCTATGAGTTTTGATGAGTGGAAACCACCATACTAAGTTGAAGAGGATCTGATAAGAAATAAGGCTTTATCCCAGTAACAGGAATTAAAATGGGATATTTTAACAAATCCCCCCCCCCCCCCCCCCCCCCCCCCGAAAAAATTGTTCACATTTCAGATTTTTCTGATTGTAGAAATCATCCAAAGTTTAAATTTGTTGAAACCGTCATACAATTTTGTAAAGGATCTGATAAAAAATTAAGGCAAGTGGATATTTTCCCACAAGTTCACCTTTTTGGTTTACAATTTCAGTTTTTTCTGATTATCAAACTCATCTGTGGTTTTAAATGAGTTCCATGAAAATGTCATAACCTCTGCAAAGAGGTATGGGGTATAACAAAAATTGAAGTATATTTTCTTACCACAGCTAATAGAAGGTATAGCTATTGAAGTAAATCTGTTGAGCAAAGAGGTATGGGGTATAACAAAAATTGAAGTATATTTTCTTACCACAGCTAATAGAAGGTATAGCTATTGAAGTAAATCTAAAAGACTCTGCTTTTTGTAAAGCTGATACAACAGTTTTCCTCAAATCATCAAGACATTGTTGCTTTTTGTTGTGTGGATATGAATGCCACATTGGTCCAACAGCATGAATAATAGACTTGTATGGCAGATTCCCTGCAGTACTAGAATAACAGGTTCCAACATGTAGAGGCCCATGGACTCTGACATGATCATCACATTCTTTATCTAACTGATAGCCAGCTGCATTACTGATATGGTATGCTATTCCACCACCATGCATTAAATCCCTATTAGCTGCATTGACTAAAGTGTCTACTTTAAGGTTACCAATCCCGGTTGAATACACAAATATTTTAATACCTTCCTTAGTTTTGAAGGTTGTTCCACCTCTGATGGTCAAATCAGAAGTGCTAGATGGGGAAGAAACAGGTCCAGGACCAACTTCATCTGGTGAAGCAAATTTCCTATTTCTGCGTCCACCACCTTGTTGTACCATTCCAAGATTGACTTCTATCATATGCTTTGCCTGTTGAGCTTGTTCGTAGCTTGAAGCTTTAATAATTATTCTTTTCCTATCAAAGGACAAGAAACAATACATTACAGGCCAAGTATCTTCTACTTCAGATAATAAATCTGTAAGTGGAGTTGAATGATTGCTTGGAGGAATTACTTCTGTTCCTGCTAGCTGCATCAGCCACTCCAGTTTACTTTTTATGCATGTGGCCACCATGCTTACATCATTTGAATCTTCAACATCAAATATCACTTTTCCTTTCACATATCTTTGTTTTACATGAGATCGCCATTCATCATCATTTGTGATATATATCAACGCAGCGTAGTCATCTTCACTCATGTCATAGGAAAGGGACAAATCTTCATACATAGCCAATTCTTTTTTGACGAGAATAATTTGTGATTGAGTTGCATCACATACAACTTGATTAGAATCCTCATCTAGAGTAATCTCAGAAATATCTTTCTTCAATTTTTCTACTGCTTTTTTCACTTTCTTTATTTCTTTGCTCTGAATTTTCATTTTAAATCTAAAGGTAGCCTGAAAACAGAGTTAAATGTGAGTATGTCAGGGCTAACAAAAGGGGTTATTTTGCCATTCAATTATTTTCAATTGCATATTGCCAATTTGTTTTTCTTTTTTTGAATAGAGATTTTCAAAACAAAACAAAGGTACTACATCTATTTTGTAGTATAACACTAAATATCAAACATGTTGTCTTGACAGTAGTTGTGATAATTGGTAATTTCATTTTGAACTGTGTGTTTTGGAATTCAGTAACTTTCTGCAGTTTGACAGATGTTCAGTTCAAAAATGATTTCAAATAATAAAGTAAACAAATTTCAAACCTGAATAGAAGAAATGTCTTGTACAACTTTCTTATAGACATCTTCAGCCGTAGTCTTTGGCCCAACAACCTCCACACTGAATGGAAAGGATGTTTGATCTGTGATATGCCATTGCCATTTACTTTCTGAAATAAAAGTCAAATTTATCATAGATAATTTGTAGATAGCAGACTATCAAATAAATTAAATAACTACCATAAGGGATCTAGTAATTATTACAAAAATTATATAGATGGAAACACTTTTGATATACAAACAAAAAAGGACAAAACATTGATCCAAATGGATTAGTTGAAATCATCCATTGAAAAGTTTTAAAAACATGACTTGGTTTACAGTTATTATTTGTCACAGAGGAAAACCGCAACCATCTTGTTCACTTTTCCTTGAATTGTAACATCATAAAATGTACCTTATCATTACATTTTTATTTGCCACTAGCAGCATGACATGTGGCACTTGTAGAGCAGAAACTGCTGACCTTTCCAGTGCACATGAGCTTACCCCTGGTTTTTTGAAGGGTTTGTTTTAAACAATCTTTAATGCAGAGTTTTGTGGTGTGTCAATAGTTGCCAACCGCTAGCAATGATATATCATAGCAAGACATGATATGACATGCCAAAATGTTTAAAAACATGTGCATGCGGCTTTTTTTTTTAAAGTCAGTCTTTTCATTTAGGGAAATGTTTTCACCTTGCAGGAAGTATGAAATGGTCTTTACTAATGGTGATTGTGAACAGCCACATGTTTCAATACATTTTGATTTTCAAATGTATACCCGTAATACATAAAACTTTTGGAAGAACATCAAATTTAATTTAAATATGTGAGTTACAAAGGATGCAGAACACTTTATTTGGTCCTTTATTATTTTCTTTTCTTCATATTAAACTCTGATTCCCAAGCGTCTTGATAAACACAAAAGTACAGCTTCCTATAGGGCATGGGCTCTTTAAAAAAAGCTACCCATGCAGGACAAGTGATCTTCCATCCAATAGATATTTTCTTGATACTAATGTAAAATTTTTGAAGAAGAGAAACCAAACTCAACCTTGACATTTATTAACAATTATGGAAAAAAAAACAATGTTTTGCAAGTATTTTAAAACAAAAACAAAAAGCTGTATAATAATTGATTGATAAAACCAGAGTTTTTCAAACAACTAAAAACTGAAAAACTGTATTATAGCATTTTACAAAAACATATGAAATAGCATGTGATCAAATGTAAAGACATGGGACATGTGTGCACTTCCTGTGATAAAATTAGCGCATGTAATCAGTTTTAAAAGCATGCAAGTTCGATTTTGTCATTTTTCTTCTTGGCCATGGTGTTTGTCTGTTTTTCTGTGACATTGTATTTTATTGCCTCCTTCATTTTTATACAACTATATACCAAATATCAACATAATATCCTGAAGGATGGGTGATATCTAAGCAGAAGCAATTTTCTACATGTAAAATGAATTAAGTCTTTATTTCAAGATTTACATATAAATCTGGGAAAGAAATCTGCTGAAACATAATTTTTCTGCTCTGAATTATGAACATCTAACAATAGAACAAAAATTTGGCCACAACTTAGTGATGCAAGTGGGTCAGAATGATATCTCATAATGTTATGGACACACAAAAAACTTTATATGCCTAAGACAATAAAAAATTGTAGTCCATAATCACCCTCCTGCTTTTCATTTAACTTCACACATTCTGTTACTACTTCTGCATAATCGTCACCCTTGAGGAAAACTCTCACAAGTTTAACATAATTTATTTCTGGTAGTTTTTTTCCTGCATTCTCCTTGTTAATCATATCTATCTCTTCTCCATGCTGCTTTATTTCACGTATCAGCACCTTCAACTGTTTTTGGATTGGAACCTCTAAAAACATAACGAAAACCTATGACTTATAATGCTGAACTCCAAATGAAAATGGCATTTTATCTAGAAATATTTTATTCGATGTATTGCTCACCTGGATATTGATCTATTTAAAAATATTCTGTTATAAAATTTTGATATCATTTTAAATTAAGGAATGTATCTCCCCCATGCATAGCTCTGATTTGTTGTCCCTGTTTGGCTTTACATTTGGTCCTTTTTGGTTTTATCAGCTCTTCAACCTGTATATTACTAGGTTTTGGACTTTCAAATATTTTGGCCTTGAGCATCAATGAAGAAATATTAATTGTCAAAATGTGAATGTGGTACAAAAAATTGGTATCATTCATATTTCTACTAAACTCTATGCCTAATGTTTATAAGATGTTAATTAGAGGTCACAAAGATTCTGGATTATGCATCTGGGAAAAATATGCTGCCATATTAATATCTTGAAATAAAGAGCTGCACCATGAGCACACTTTACGCCCGTCGTCTTTTAGCTCGTCTTTATGCTTTCATTGAATATATATGATCAACTAGAAATACAACGAATAAAGTTCCATAACTCTGCAAAGTCATATCAGAAATTCAAACAAGAGGCTCTCAAGAGCCTAAATCACTCACCTGTTATTTTTTTGCTTAAATTTTTCATCAATGATTATTTTTGCTTTTCAATATATATTAATGAGTGGCTTAAAAATGCCATTTAAATGTTCATTGTATCTGTCATATTTTCTTCAAAAGCAAATAAATGCATTTTACCCATATGTTCCTTTTGAGCCAAAGTGTCTATGTTTCTTGACGTACAAGGAAATAAAATACAAAATTTATACTAGATTCATTTGAGAAGATTTTTAAAGTTAAAAAACATAAACAACTTGTGTTATATTGTCCTTAAAGGGCAATAACTCCATAAGGGGTCAATTGACAATTTTGGTCATATAAAACTTTTTTGTAGATGTTACTTTGCTGAACATTTTTGCTGTTTACAGTTTATCTTTATCTCCAATAATATTTGGGGGCCTCAGTGGCCGAGTGGTCTAAGTAGTTACTACTGTAATCACTAGCCAGTCAACACTGAGGTTGTGAGTTCAAACCCGCTCGTGAGGGTGCACTCGACTCCAATCTTAATTGACTAGGATTGTCAGTTTTCCTATCGAAGGTCGGTGGTTTTCTCCGGGCACTCTGGCTTCCTCCACCAATAATAACTGGCTGCCACGAAATAGCCCAAAAGCAGTGCTTAAAAGTGGCGTTAAAACACCCAAAAAATCAAATCAAATCCAATAATATTCAAGATAATAACCAAAAACTGCAAAATTTCCTTAAAATAACCAATTTAGTGGCAGCAACCCAACAATGGGTTGTTCGGTTTGTCTGAAAATTTCAGGGCTGATAGATCTTGACCTTTTATACATTTTTATCCCATGTCAGATTTGCTCTAAATGCTTTAGTGTTTGAGATATAAGCCAATAAAATGCTTCGCTGGGCACAGCTTGATGCGACTGCAGAGGTTGAACCCTGAACAGTTGGGGCAAGTATGGACACAACATTCAAACTTGATACAGCACTGAATTTGGATTGTGATTAAATATTTGACACAGCATAGGTTTCTGACACAGAATGAATGTGGTCTAAGAACTTAAAAATTTTTAATTTACCTATTGAAATCATATCATTATTATTTGCTTTTATACATAAATCAGAAATAACCAATTTAAAATGGAAAATTTTAAAGAAAAAAAAGAGAAAAAAAAATCCCCCCCCCAAATTTTTGAACCCCCTTATGATTCATCACCCCTTAACCCCAAACTCAATCCCAGCCTTCCCTTTGTGGTATGGTATCTTGCAGTACAATTTCAGAGAGATCCATACACTTGAACACAAGTTATTGTCTGGAAATTAGAAAAATGCTTGTTTTTTGGCCCCTTTTTGGCCCCAAATTCCTAAACGTTTAGGGCAATTACCCCAAACTCAAACCCAGCTTTCCCTTTGTAATATGGAACTTGTAGTACAATTTCATAAAGATCCATACACTTACACACAAGTTATTGTCCTGAAACTAGAAAAATGCTTGTTTTTTGCCCCTTTTTGGCCCCTAATTCCTAAAATTTTGAGGCAATTACCCCCAAAATCTATCACAGCCTTCCTTTTGTGGTATGGTACCTTGCAGTACAATTTCAGAGAGATACATACACTTGAACACAAGTTATTGTCTGGAAACTAGAAAAATGCTTATTTTTGGCCCCTTTTTGGCCCCTTATTCCTAAACGTTTTGGGCAATTACCCCCAAACTCAATTCCAGCTTTCCCTTTGTGATATGGAACCTTGTAGTACAATTTGTTCATTGTATCTGTCATATTTTCTTCAAAAGCAAATAAATGCATTTTACCCATATGTTCCTTTTGAGCCAAAGTGTCTATGTTTCTTGACGTACAAGGAAATAAAATACAAAATTTATACTAGATTCATTTGAGAAGATTTTTAAAGTTAAAAAACATAAACAACTTGTGTTATATTGTCCTTAAAGGGCAATAACTCCATAAGGGGTCAATTGACAATTTTGGTCATATAAAACTTTTTTGTAGATGTTACTTTGCTGAACATTTTTGCTGTTTACAGTTTATCTTTATCTCCAATAATATTTGGGGGCCTCAGTGGCCGAGTGGTCTAAGTAGTTACTACTGTAATCACTAGCCAGTCAACACTGAGGTTGTGAGTTCAAACCCGCTCGTGAGGGTGCACTCGACTCCAATCTTAATTGACTAGGATTGTCAGTTTTCCTATCGAAGGTCGGTGGTTTTCTCCGGGCACTCTGGCTTCCTCCACCAATAATAACTGGCTGCCACGAAATAGCCCAAAAGCAGTGCTTAAAAGTGGCGTTAAAACACCCAAAAAATCAAATCAAATCCAATAATATTCAAGATAATAACCAAAAACTGCAAAATTTCCTTAAAATAACCAATTTAGTGGCAGCAACCCAACAATGGGTTGTTCGGTTTGTCTGAAAATTTCAGGGCTGATAGATCTTGACCTTTTATACATTTTTATCCCATGTCAGATTTGCTCTAAATGCTTTAGTGTTTGAGATATAAGCCAATAAAATGCTTCGCTGGGCACAGCTTGATGCGACTGCAGAGGTTGAACCCTGAACAGTTGGGGCAAGTATGGACACAACATTCAAACTTGATACAGCACTGAATTTGGATTGTGATTAAATATTTGACACAGCATAGGTTTCTGACACAGAATGAATGTGGTCTAAGAACTTAAAAATTTTTAATTTACCTATTGAAATCATATCATTATTATTTGCTTTTATACATAAATCAGAAATAACCAATTTAAAATGGAAAATTTTAAAGAAAAAAAAGAGAAAAAAAAATCCCCCCCCCAAATTTTTGAACCCCCTTATGATTCATCACCCCTTAACCCCAAACTCAATCCCAGCCTTCCCTTTGTGGTATGGTATCTTGCAGTACAATTTCAGAGAGATCCATACACTTGAACACAAGTTATTGTCTGGAAATTAGAAAAATGCTTGTTTTTTGGCCCCTTTTTGGCCCCAAATTCCTAAACGTTTAGGGCAATTACCCCAAACTCAAACCCAGCTTTCCCTTTGTAATATGGAACTTGTAGTACAATTTCATAAAGATCCATACACTTACACACAAGTTATTGTCCTGAAACTAGAAAAATGCTTGTTTTTTGCCCCTTTTTGGCCCCTAATTCCTAAAATTTTGAGGCAATTACCCCCAAAATCTATCACAGCCTTCCTTTTGTGGTATGGTACCTTGCAGTACAATTTCAGAGAGATACATACACTTGAACACAAGTTATTGTCTGGAAACTAGAAAAATGCTTATTTTTGGCCCCTTTTTGGCCCCTTATTCCTAAACGTTTTGGGCAATTACCCCCAAACTCAATTCCAGCTTTCCCTTTGTGATATGGAACCTTGTAGTACAATTTGTTCATTGTATCTGTCATATTTTCTTCAAAAGCAAATAAATGCATTTTACCCATATGTTCCTTTTGAGCCAAAGTGTCTATGTTTCTTGACGTACAAGGAAATAAAATACAAAATTTATACTAGATTCATTTGAGAAGATTTTTAAAGTTAAAAAACATAAACAACTTGTGTTATATTGTCCTTAAAGGGCAATAACTCCATAAGGGGTCAATTGACAATTTTGGTCATATAAAACTTTTTTGTAGATGTTACTTTGCTGAACATTTTTGCTGTTTACAGTTTATCTTTATCTCCAATAATATTTGGGGGCCTCAGTGGCCGAGTGGTCTAAGTAGTTACTACTGTAATCACTAGCCAGTCAACACTGAGGTTGTGAGTTCAAACCCGCTCGTGAGGGTGCACTCGACTCCAATCTTAATTGACTAGGATTGTCAGTTTTCCTATCGAAGGTCGGTGGTTTTCTCCGGGCACTCTGGCTTCCTCCACCAATAATAACTGGCTGCCACGAAATAGCCCAAAAGCAGTGCTTAAAAGTGGCGTTAAAACACCCAAAAAATCAAATCAAATCCAATAATATTCAAGATAATAACCAAAAACTGCAAAATTTCCTTAAAATAACCAATTTAGTGGCAGCAACCCAACAATGGGTTGTTCGGTTTGTCTGAAAATTTCAGGGCTGATAGATCTTGACCTTTTATACATTTTTATCCCATGTCAGATTTGCTCTAAATGCTTTAGTGTTTGAGATATAAGCCAATAAAATGCTTCGCTGGGCACAGCTTGATGCGACTGCAGAGGTTGAACCCTGAACAGTTGGGGCAAGTATGGACACAACATTCAAACTTGATACAGCACTGAATTTGGATTGTGATTAAATATTTGACACAGCATAGGTTTCTGACACAGAATGAATGTGGTCTAAGAACTTAAAAATTTTTAATTTACCTATTGAAATCATATCATTATTATTTGCTTTTATACATAAATCAGAAATAACCAATTTAAAATGGAAAATTTTAAAGAAAAAAAA